CTTTCTAGGCTAACTCAAACAATCAATTTCTTGCTTAGATGTTGCTTAGTGTTCACCTGTTTATAGGTAAATAAGTGTAAAGAAATATTTATTTCTTTTTATACCGTGGTATTTTCTTGTCTTTGTATCTTTATTTAGTTCTAATGATCATTTCCTGTCGTGTAGCATTTTTTCCGTTTGCTTTGTCTTTACTCCTGTGCATTCTGTCCACGTACCGGTGTATGTAAATAAATTATAAACTCTTTTTCTATGTGCTTATTCTGACTTCCTACTTAGACACATATGTAGAGCTGCTTAGTATATATCATGTTATAATATTCTCTAAATATATGAAAATATTGAAAAGAAATTACTTGTTACCTGTTGAATGAATACTACAGTTGCGACCAGTATAATGCTCCTGCTACCAATTCTACATTATTTGAAATTTGGAAGTTCCGGTTAATAAAATTACAATTACATGGGTGTAATTTTTAGTATTATGCTTTCTATTACCCAATCGGAAAAGGATATTACTAAGGAGAAACTAAAAGAGTAGCCTGTTACTAAATATATGACTTAATGAGTCACCTTCGACTACTTCAATTCAAAGTGTTCAAATCTCCTACCCCATTAGTCATTTGCTAGCACTGAAGTGTAAATCAGCTTTCAGTGGAGTTATACCCTGGATTCCAGTCATGCGAAAGAGAGTAAGGCTGTATTCAACTTCAACAATAGTCCGACACGAAAGTATCGACTCTTGTAGATGTATGCATACGTGTGTGTATGTTCTGTTACCTGAAGATATTTATTATACAAATGCATATTTTAATCATATATGCCATGTCTCCTAAGCGGGACGTCTTTCCGTCGTTTTGGAATATGTTGCCTGGTATCAGTTCTAATCCACCTTAGATTAGGCAACTATCTTAAATCTGTAATTATGCATAGATTTTAGTTTAATTTAGTGAGGACTGTTGTCTCTGAGGGTGTCGAAGCTAGCTAGGATTGGGAAAGTAAGACATGCATTCGTTATTCTGGAATCCATGTGAAGACATAACAGCATTTAGCATAACCAGCAAGATCATAATTTTGAACACTAATGTCAAGTCAGTACTTTTATATAGTTCATAGACTTTCTGGAGGCGTCACAAAATATTTTCAACGGTCCGCTGAAGACTTTCATCAACAGCTACCTTTGTTCGATGTTGAAGATCAGATAATCAGAAAGGATAAACTGCAAAGAATGCTGGCAGACAACGAATCAGCCAAGCACTTGTCGTTGATGTGATGTACAGAATAGAATGAATACGACTGGTGGTATACTCTGACGAAGTCGTTGAATGACACCATACACCAGTTCCTCGAGTAGAATTCGAATCGGAAGCGAACAGTTGGATGCTGCTTTGAGGGCAACATAAAAAAGAAAATGTGAGGAGAAAAAAGCTTTAAGCAGTCGTGATCCCAGGTGAAAGCGTTGGCAAAGAACCGACTGCCATCGAGATGTGCCACTTGGAAAGGAAGGAATGCTGAATGCGTCAAGCATTAGTAGAATATGAAAATTAATGGGCCACTAAACAGTAATCCAATGACCGTAAACGACAGCGTTCTGATATTGTAATTTAACAGTTTTTGACTTGATAACTTGTAGGTTAGTAGGTTTGTATTATCAAAAAATCTTGAAGTAGAAGGGAAGGCTCTGTAATACTCTTCGATTCTTAGTGGTTAGTTCACTTTTATCATTTCTTGGCGCAATCAACTTTAAAATTGGATACAGTTTGACTTGTAACTGAAGTGGTATTAAACAATATCAGAAGACCTGGTCTCTGCATACAGAAGAAATCTGTTCAACCGCTTTGTCTATCTTTTCCTGCAATAAAGTCAACAAATCCTTCAGAAATATTGGCAATTTACATTTTTGTCCCATTCTTTTCTTTTCTCCTCTTTTTTTTTCCTTTGTTTCATTGACAAACGACGTTTATTTGAGATAATTTACGACTTCATTACCAGTCTTATGATGTCTACTATTCTGGGTTTACTTGATGCTTTTCAAACTTGTTTTTATGTTTCCATACTCTTCTTCATTCCACTTCATTAAATTATTTATTACCTGATAATCGTTCACTAATAGTACTTTTTTGTTTACACCACACCATCGTTATTATTGTTAGTTGTCGCCCTTGAACTCACGTCTAGTCTATCCCATTTGTTGGTTAATTTCTCTGTACAATGCATATTGTCTCACCTGCCACTGACTGCGCCCATCCTTGAAACTTGTACTTTTGTTCATTATAATGAAGGTTTTTGTATTTCCCAATGAATGAAAAACAAAACGATATTGTTTTTACTGACGTTTCGCTATTCAATGCTAACAGCTTTATCAAAGTATCAAAGTACTTTTGTTGACTATAATATATATATACGTCATTGAATTATTCATCTCATTTTACCTCTTATTGACTATACGCATATTTTAGACGATAAAGCTAACTGACTTTTGTTATTCCATCTAATACTTGCTCCACAATATACTTTCTGGTATAATTCTAATTTGCCTTTACTCTGGCTATTGTATGCTAAAATTAGAGGTTTTATAATTGTAGAGCCTGAAGTTAAATATATAACTGGAAATAATTGTTTGTTATACTAATTTTTATTTCCTCTTTTCACGAATATTTTTTTCGAATAAATTTAGCTGTACCCGTCTAAATTAATATCAGGTAGTATAATATTTATCAGTAGTATGTTGAACACCGATAGACTTTGTTACAGATGCTATATACCATCACACCCTCCACGTAAAGTATTTTAAGTTTAAAATAGGATTGCTTTTGAAAAGAGATAGAAGTGGTTGAACCATGAAGTCATCGATCGTTGGTTTGAGTCACATCTGGGCGTGGATGGGTGTTGTGTAGATTATCGCCTGGCTAGGATCCCTGGGATACTGTCACTTTGTGATTCATTAAAGATTCTTTATTACATTTTAGATTTTCCTGTCGATTGATTGGACCGATGTCGTTGGTCTCAGATGCTTCGACGATGTCTGGGCGTGTAATTAGAAGTTAATTAGTGGTGGTAACTAGCAGTGGAATCCAGGATGCACACTTCGTCCTATTTGAATTTTAAAAATAATTAATATGACCCGTTGCACAAGTGGTGACTCTTGTGGCCCTAGTAGTCTAGTGGATAACGCTTTGGCGTTTGAAACTATGTACATTGGGTTTGAGCCTCGGCGGGAACATCATCATTCACTGAGGAATGCAAGTATAAAGTTACATAGATTGAGATGGCTAGGTCACGTGCTGCGCATGCCTAACCATCACCCCCTCCCCCCGACAGGCATTACTAGCTGATATAGGTGCTGGTTGGAAAAGAGTAAGTGGTGGCCGAACAAAAACATGGCCTCATCAATCCATGAAATCCTTGACAGTTAAACTTAGTCACGTAGGGAGGGAGATGCAGACTTCCGGGTTGGGGCCCTCGGGACTCTAGGAATTAATGGCTGGAGGCAATAGGTGATATGGCTCAAAATCGTTGTCAATGGTCAGCGCAGATGTGTTCAGTCTCTGTAATCTTTCATATTCCTTTCCACCATTATCCATTCTGTTTCACTCTTATACTTGTCAAACTTTATTAATTCTCTTTACTCATCTTTTTGTCTACCTTTGTGTGCAATTTGGAAGGTGGCAACTCGAACTGGTGCACTTCGGTGCGAAGTTGTATGTTGAATCCAGATGGACAGACAGAATTCAGGTACATTCAGATGATGAATCCCAGATAGGACGAAATACGCATCCTGGATTACACTGCTAGTCACCACCCATCAATTGAATTAAATAAAGATTCATTGGGCTCTTATTGTTCTTCTTAAACTCATCCTTCCTCCTACATTTTCTTGTTTGTTACAGTTTCTTCGTATTTCTTTCCCCTACCTTATTTTTGTTCAGTTATTTATGTAGTGTGACAACTTGGACTGTTCCACTTTTGTGTAAACTTTTACACTTTTACACAGTTCAGTATTATGGAGCTCACATAATTGCCAATATAAACTTTATATTTGTAATATTTAACAACCTTTCGTGTACAGAATAATAAATAACAATATACCCTATAATATATTGTATCAAGAGTGGGAAATATATATCTTCAAGATTTTGATACTAGCTTTTCAATTCTTCCGCGTCAAAACTGCCTACTAGCAGCGATGATATTCTTGATTGGGTTGAATTGGATTATGCAGACAGACATTTTTTCGACAACAAGCACCAGTCATCTTCCACCTACCTAGGTAGTATCTTACTAACCACAGAATGTCAAAACCAGCCAGGATAGGAAAAGTCAAACAAAAGTTTACATTAATCTGAAATCAGTATGGAAATCTGCTTCCCCTAAGATAAGGGACAAGATTCGCATTTTCAACACCAAAGTCACTTATATCTTCTATATAGTTCAGAGACTCAGCACTATACGTAAAAGCATTTCGAATAGGCTTCAGATTTTCATCATCAACTGCCTTCGTTCGATACTGAAAATTGGATAGCCATAAAGGGATTGGCAACAAGGAACTGTGACCATGGAACGTCTCAGAACTTGTTGCCTAACAAATATGCCAAAGTGAATAGAAGTGGAGGAGACCACCAAGTGACATCATGCGTCATGTTGTCGAGTGGAAATCTAGTGAAAAACGATGACTTCGGAGTGTGTCTAAGGGTAACATGGTGGGGGGGGGTGATGTTTGGAGATAGTCAAAGTTTGTGGGTAATCATAGAGCTGGCTAAAAGTAGACAGTATAGAACAAAGTGAAATGTCATATGTTTCACTCAGAACTTACAGGGATGGTAATAATAATAATAATAATAATAGTGACATATTTCGGTACTTCCTTCGTTTACAGCTTTATACCAAGGAATAATTTGTATGCAAAAGGATTTTAATAGTATGTTTTAATTTTCATCTTGTCTAAAATTTCTTCAATTGATTTTAATTCAGTAACTTCTTCAACATATATTATTACTTTACAGCCTACCAGTAACAATTCTGTAGTCCACGATTCTACAACTAATAAACATTATAATTATGATAAATACACTAACAATCATATTGCTGATGACAGCAGTGATAATAATGATGACGATTATCCTATGGACACCAAGTCAAGTACAACTCATCGTAGTACTATTATTAATGGAAAGCATGCTGATCCTCAAAAAACGACAAATCAGCCACAAGAACAACAGCCGCAGCAGCAACAACAAGAAAATTCTAATCGACCTGTTAATCCCACTTCTAATTCACATTTCTTCAATAATAATAATAATATAAAATCTGACTTTATGAATTTATCATCAACAAAACGTTATTCATCGAAAACACAATTTTCAGAATTTGGTTCACAAAGTCTACCAGCTTCAGGTCGTTTATCGCCTACTCTAAAGAGTGTAAGTCTTTTTGTGTTAACCGTTTATATGAATTTGTTCTAGTGTTTTTTTTTAATTTGCAGACGATTTTGTATTTCAATGGTCTTTCATGGCTGAACACTCTGATGTTAGTGTATATGAAATCGTTTTTGGATGTCTGGAAACCATCGTTAATTCATTAAGTGATTAAAAATGCCCATTAAAATTTTCAAAAGAATGGATATATATATATATATATATATATTATTAATATGTATACGCAACACATTACACGATTCAGGCTAATTACTTCTTGTGACTTGCCCCATTCAGGCAGGTAGTCACCTGAGTTTCTGATGAGAAGTCGTGAGCAGTAGGGTGGATCAGGTCGGGTGTGAGGACAAATACTCGCCGAAGTCATTGGCTAAGGGTCGCGCTACGTCGTCAATTGGCAGAAGTTAGAATTCACGGGTCATTGGATCGAGTCCCAGTGGCTTAATGGTATATGCGCTAGCCTTGTAATGAGAAGGCCCTGGTTTCGAACCCTGGTGGGTGGGTACTGATGAAGATCCCCGAACTAGGACGGAACTGCTGTCAAGTACTCCCAGGTTTTCCAATGGTTCTCTAACTGATGTCGGTTCATGATGAAATCCTCCATGCAGTCAAAAATTATTACTCATAATCATATCAATACAATCACGCAATATGATTATGAGTAAGAATTTGTGCTAGAAACGTCATCAGTGAGTAATAATGTGTAACACTGTGTGATTTTATCGAAATAAAAATTTTATTCATAATGGAGTTATACTCTACCATAGTACTTACTTTTACTTTACTTCGGCTATCTCCTACTGGAGGATGAGCTGGCCTCATGAACCTCTCGAATCATCGCTGCCCAGACGCGGCGTTCTGATGCAAGGTTTTGCAACAGGGTTATCCAATTCTTGTTCCACAGACGGAGTCCGTAGACTGTTTGTAGCCCCAGGCACTCCATATCAACCTTGACTGTACCAAGCCATGTTTTCAGCTGTCCACCCCTGCGACATCGCCAAGATGGAAATGGCGAGGGATTTAGAACTGATTTGACCAGATCGTCATCTGGTCGGCGCAGAACATGGCCAAACCATCAAAGGCGACGTTGTTGGACCAGTACCGGAATTTGGTTGATGTTGTAGAAAGTTCATGAAGTTTCATGGGAATTAGGTACGAGTGATGCCCCCAGCATCGCTCGGCTTTTTGTTTGAGAGTGCAGCTCTAGCCTTTACACAACCAAGTGTGACCTACAAGGCAGTAGGAGTGGAGTAGGGAGTCCACTATCCATTGGCAGCCGGTGACCGGAGTCCGGTTCATACGTCTTTTTGAATGGGGCCAGACATTCAGGACATCCAATCAGCCCTTTGTCCATACGTCTTCCGGTGAGCTCCGGTGAGCTTCATACGCCAGTCGTTGGAGGTTTGGAATCAGGGTTTAGCCATCTCCTAGATTGTCATCCAATGGACAGTCAACCCGGTGAAGAGCTCCGGGCATCCGCTTTTGCCCTCTCACTTCGGTGAAAAACACCTCCGCCACGTGAAGGCAGTGAGTAGGACTTCCTCAGGAGAGGCTGTGTAAGACGCCTGGTCATTTGGGAGCATTTCAAGAAGTGTACGGAGGGGTAGCCAACCTGCAGCGCAAGGCGCCCACCCCCGACCATCCTGAGGCCAAGGTTTATCATTCTATCAAATTATGTAATAAGTAGAAAGAGTAAATAAAGGATTGATTAAGAAAAAGATGTTAACAAAATGTCATACAAGAATTCAAAGAGAAGCATTGTTTCGATAGAGAAAGAAAGACCAGATTTGCAGTACAGAATGATATCATTCTATTTCATAGGTTCTCATCAGCTGCAAACTACCTGAAATTACAATGGTTATTAATTATAACATTTCATACTTCATTGTTTGAAAGGTAATAGAGAAAACATTATAAAGTTAACGCATCTGGAATATAAGTATTATAATTTATAGTTTAAATTACCATCAATTTATATACTATCAAACTATGAAAAAAGAAAAAAGGGGGGTGAGAGAAGACATAAAACAGAAAAAATCAACTAAACAGTGTCAACATGGCAACTCAAGGTCAAAGTTCATCAATTTGAAAATTTGCTTAGTGAGTCGAGCCCACTAGTGTGTATGACTAATCAGTGTAATGAAAGTGATATGGTTACCAAGGGAGTGTGGTCAAATGTATGAAAAAGCATTATTGACAAGGTAGTAGAACCCAAGGCAGAAGGAGGGGTTGGAGAAGTTTCTTCTGTGTAAATAAATCCGGGTTTTCTATCCGGATCGCTAAGGCCTCAGTAATGTAAAGTATACGGAAGTTTATCGTTTTCGGGAGGTTTCTTTTTACTTTGTAGATGACTATGAATGAGTTCTGCTTACATATTGAATGACTAGCACATAAATGCAGATTTCCAGCTAAGAATGTATGAAGACCTCAATTTCAGCTATTGCCGTCTCTATAAGATGGTTAGTGTTATATGCTGGCAGAAAATAGTTACGAAGTATTGCAGCCTGTCCTCCGGCTTCTGTAGTCTAGACATATGTGGTGAGATCAGGCCGTGAGAAAATATGTACAAGGCTGATTCAACAACCAATCACAGCAGACTTAACGTGGCAAAATATGATTCGCAGATAGAGAACTCTATTTTTCGAGGAATCCCGAAACAACCAATCAGAAGACTGCGCTTGTCTACTTGAATAAGCTATAATAATGTATGGGAAATATATATAAATACGTGTTGATTTTCGTAATAAAACGATCTGTTGCCTGGCCCTTGTCTTCTGTGGTTACACATGTGTTACGGAAGTTATCTAATGGACTCCCAAAGCAAACCTTTTCTATTAACGATAAAGCTGGTTCTGAGTTGAGACGAACCAACCACACCACTGATAAGCTGATGAGCGAAGCTGCCAGCCGATCCTTTGATCACTTCAATCTGGTTAGCAAGTACTACTGGTAGATGCAAGTGCTATGTAACTACTCATATCAGTTAGTCAGTAATATGTAGTCTGATGCAGATAACACTGGTTTTCAGCTGATGACACGGTATCTTAGAGTGATGAATAGGCGTCTTAAGTTATCCTTTATTGATGAATCATGACTCTTGTATATGCTTGTTTGATTCTGCTGGTTCCCCAGCTGTTCCTTTTTTTTATGTTGTGGTTTAATTTTGTATGACGCATTTTTTTCCTTCACGTTCCCTGTGTAACATCATAGGGCCTCAAGCTAGTCGCTTGAGGCTTCTGTGGCAGTGTTTAATTTTACAGGATGGGGTTGCTAGCCTCTTGCCCAACCTTACCTCTTTACCGGCATTATTCCTGGCTTAGCGAGGTGAAGCAGTGCGTTGGCGGCCGGGGATCGAACTCCGGACCATGTGCATGGTCGGCGAGCGTCCTAACCGCTGTGCCACCGACGCACAGTATGACGCATTACTTTTAGTTAATATTATACCACGTTATTTCTGTATTATTCTGCTTGGAAATGGTGCACATACGGTAGAGCACGCCGAGGAATTTGCACTCTGTATGAACGTATTATTCAGAAGAAAGCTATAATAATTATTAAGACCAAATCATAGTGCTTTCACTTGAAGTAAAAATCTTTCGATTAACATCCTCATTATAAATGCTATTTTTTCACTCATTGTTTGCATCCTCGCCTTTAGTCTTCTTGTTCGTTTTGAATGATAAATTTAACTGATGTTATGACTGAGTTTCAACATAGAACTTCGCACAGAAGTGCAGCAGTTCTGACGGTCACACTCCATGTAAGACACAAGATAGAGAAAAGAGAGAAAAATGCTAAAGAAGTGTAATGAACAGAAATGTACAGGAGGACGAATGATTACAAGGAAAAACATGAGGAACTAGTGTATCTAGGAGATTACTAAGAGTGAATGCATCTGCCCCATTGTCAACGGTTTTGAGCTATATGATTGTGTAGGGTGTTCATCGGCACAAAAGCATCAAATAGCATGTAGATAGATTTGATGTCAGAGAAAGCAAATGATACATTGTTGTGGTTACACATGGGAGACGTGAATGGAACACAAAGAAACACAATGCGAAGGTCAGAAATAGCGCCACATAGAAGGTCTGTGCAAATAGCGCGTTGAAGATAAGGTATATATAATCTGACTATATAGAGATACCGAATTGCAAATAAACATTCTTTTACCAATTCTTTTGTCGTCTACTGTTGCGGTTGAATAATCTCAAATCATTGGTTCTTATCGCCCTGAAGATCACAAACAGGCAATCTACACTTCCCTACATAGTTCAAAACAACATACACAGACTTGATGGATTGATGCCATGTTTTGATTTGACCAACCCTAGCACTTTTCCAATCCAATCCTATGTTGTGTAACATTGCTTGTCGAAGAAGGTGGTAGCTCAACATACGTATTAATTGGCAATGGAACCGTAAAATGTTTGATTATTAGTCACAAGCTCAATTGGTTTGTCCAATATCCAGATTAGTCACCGACATATCCTTTAAAGCCTTCCTTGGAGTAATGTCAGTTGATATTGCATTTCTTTTTTTCACTATACATTTTTGTGTGTTTTATAAATTTGACAATTTGAACTGCAATCCTGTATGCAGCAAAGAGATGCAGCACCTATCTTTCTGTCTGTTTCTTTTCCTCCGTATATCTTTTATTTTATGCCACACATCCAACAATCATCGTTATTTATTAATTAGGTTTTGATTTTTAAGAATTTAATTCAATTTGAATTTTCTGGTTGATTGATTGAACCGAAGTGTTTGGCCTGTGTTGACATATCAACTGCTTGTGCGGACGCTTTGACGATGTCTGAGGATTTAACTTGAAGTAATTCGGTGGATGGTGACTAGCACTGCAATTTAGGACGCGCATTTTGTCCTATCCTGGACTTCACTGGATGTATCTTCATTCTCCAATGAGCGGTGGTGTTTCCATTGGATTCTACTGCTAGTCTTCATTCACCAAATTAAATAAGTTCAAATCGTCAACACCGTGGGAGCGTCTGCACGGAGTGTTGAAATGTCAGGAGAGACCCGGCACTTCGGTCCAAACAACTAACTGGAGAATCCAAGAATTGGTTCTTTTGCTCCTGTTGATCTAGTGGATAGCACTATGGCGTTTAAAACAATGGGTAAAGGGTTAAGGCCTCGGTGAGAACACTATCATTCACCAGGTAATGCAGGTACGTCGGGGTGATGAGGCCCTAATAGGACGAAATGCGCTTCCTAGATTCCACTGCTAGTCATCATCCATTAAATTACTTCAATTTTGAGTGGTTTTTAGCGAAAAACAACACGGTACGTAGGTTGGTTTGTACTTAGGTGTTTTAGTCCCGATTCAGACTTCTTTGTGTCATTCACTTAAGTCTAAATGCTTGATTCTTTCCTCTTATAAATTTTACAGATATCAGACCAGTCGACATTTGAACAAAGCAGATTATTTCCTCTACGGTCTTCCCTTAATATGGCTAAATCCACTTCAAATAGTGATGAACCAAGTTCATTTACTACACCACGTCGAAGACCACGTTTAGCACCAATTCGTCATCCATTCAGTGGAAATCAAGTAGATCATTCTACACCTTGGACAGCACAGGATCAATCCGTTCAAAATTCCAATTTAAGTAAGTGTTTATAGTTCGCGTGGTTGAACCTGGGATTGTATTGGTAACTAACATTACTTCTAGTATCTTTCAGTGTTTTCATGTTTAAGTTTATCCAAACAGTACTGAGCTGTTCTTCTCGCTAGAGTCTATAAGTTGAGTAGAACTATTTAAGTACTGAGTGGGATTAAAAATAACATCTCGCCTTTTTTGTGTTGTATAAGAATATGAGGGTTAGTTTGCAGTATTTTCTGCACTCGTAGTAAATTTTTTATCAGTTTCAAGTAGTACAGTCTTATGTCATACCCCTCAAATCTTCCTTGCTGTTATTCAACATTGCAGTTACTCGATGTTGGATGGTTGTAGGCAATCGGCAGGAAGCCTTGGACCTAGGTTTCGTGGTTGTTAGCACTCGTCAGCAAGGAATATCTGTAGCCTTGGAGGAACTCATGTCCCTTCTGAGATTCGTACCTTCATCACCCAGTTCTACAGTCAGTGACGTTACCACTGAGCTATTGAGTTTCGCGACTGACCTCCTGTAGGACTGTGTTGGATACTTTCCTTGGACACTAATAACTAGTTTGATATGTCTAGTTATAATTCTATCTGTCAGGTTCGCAATGATTGACAAAGATAACCAACCAGCACCAGTCACTGTTAACAGGAGAAACTTGAAAGAGGTTACTTCCTTCACTCACCTAGGAAGGCGTCTTTTCAACTACAGGCGAAACGGATCAAGATGTAAAAGGGAGAATCCAAAAAGGCGAGGTACACCTTCATCACTCTGAAATCAGCACCCAGTACCAAAAAAACAAGATTTGGACTTTCAACACAAATGTTTAACCGGTCAGTTCTTCAATATGAGTCACAAACTTGGGGTTTCACGAAAAGCACTTCCAACAGGTCACTGCAGACTTTTATCAACAGTTGACTTCGCTCCGTATTGAAGATAAGATATCTGACCAGAAAAAAATTAGAAACAAGAAACTCTTGGAACGAACCAACATGGAACCTATTATTTAACAAATATGCAGAAGAAAGTGGAGGTGGATTGGGCAAACGCTAAAGGGACCGTCGAATGACATTGCGCGCCAGGTTATTGCTGAAGTGGAGTTGGGAGCATGTCCGAGGGTGTCGCAAGGTGGGGGGGGTCGTGCTAGGCGGAGATAAGTACACTATGGACAATCTCCGGACCAAATAAAGAGGACTGTAGAGAATAGTACAAAGTGAAGATGTACTATTGAAACCCAGTGTTCCACAAGGGACTCAAGGGAACAATAATTAGATCATTGAAACAATAAAAAAACTCAATATTTTGACGGGTGAAGAAATTTATGTAGCCCAATGATTTAAGCAGGCCACCGTAGTGCCGAAATGGTCAAGTTTCAAATTCATCTTAAATAGTAAACACATTGTCTTATGGTTGAACAGTTTTAGGGAATAGTCTGTGCAGAATTTCTAAATACATCTCCCTCCCTTTTCTTATAATTCATGAAGAGTGTGAATGTTTTTCTATCATCTTTGTAGGGATAGTCTACCATTAGAACCTGCTTATGCGTGTATGTGTGTGTGTGTGTGCGTTTGAGTAGAACTGTTACCTCCCTAATCTTTTTTTTCGGTTTCTATTTCTCTATTACAGATTATTATTGTTATTTATTTTAAGGCAACCCTGTTCATTGGTGTGGTAGTAAAGTAATTAGTGGAAAGAAGAAAGAAAAACTGTTTCTGCCTTAGAAACTAGTTAGTAGTATCCAATTGAAATTGTTTACCATGTGTATTGATTTGATTAAGATGTAAACAGAATGTTTACTTATTGCTTTCTGTATATATTTCTGTTTGTATTCATCATTGGTGAGTTCTAATCTATTCTGTGTCTTAGGAGATTATTGTTCCTTTTGTTGTTTATAAAGGCATCACTAACATGGCATAGACAGGTCATTTACATGTCCCTAAACTAACCTTCATTGTAATCTACAGTCTTAATATCCTGTGAATGTGAGGTGTCTCTGTGTAATCAAAACAACCGCACACATCGAATTCTTCGATAAGTAAGTCTCTTCAGTCCATTCTATTTAATGACACCTTGGTAGATAACGTTACTATTAGTAGTGAGCTAGCTAGATGTGTGTATCAAATCTTTGATTATTGTTTTTTTTCTTTTTGTAATTTTTTTTACCCTACAGTTTCCACATCACTTCCGTCATCACTTCTACCGACTAGAGCTACATTGGGTCGTCAAAGTGGTCGATCACGTCCAACACTAAATCAAGTCTTTAATACAACAACAACTACTACTAATTCTGCTACCAAAGAAGATTATTCAGAACGGAATCGTTACGTCTATAATACTATTACTCCAAACAGTGTATTGACTACTGACTTTACCTATCATTCATCTTCACGTACCTCGCCTAATAATAGAAATGTAACTCTCCACAATCGAAATATCAAATCAGATAGAACTGCTTCATATAATAAATTGGATTATTGTACTACAACTCGAACACAAACTGACTCTGATCCTTTTCATGATTATTATTATGATGACTATGATGACAATGATGTTGAAGAAGAGATTTACGATGAAGATTATGAATCTGATGAAGAGTACACAGATACTGGAGGTGGTGGTGATGATGATGAGACGACTAGAACAATAGACAACGGAAAATTTTCACAAAGAAATCGATCAACTAAGCCTAGTTGTTCATTGCCTGCAAGTGCATTACCATTAAAACTGGATAATAATGATACAGTTTTATCAAATACAACATCAAGTTGTGAAATGCCTGAGGTAAGTATTGTTTTAATCATTTATTAATATGTATAACCTTGCTCCTGACGTCGTGGGCTTTGCGGCGTCGGTGGCACAGCGGTTAGGACGCTTGCCGACCATGCACATGGTCCGGGTTTCGATCCCCGGCCGCCAACGCACTCCTTTACGTCGCTAAGCCAGAAATAATGCTGGTAAAGAGGAAAGGTTGGGCATGAGGCTAGCAACCCCATCTTGTAAAATAAACACTGCTACAGAGACTTCAATCCACTAGCTTGAGGCCCTATGTTGCACCGGGGAACGTGAAGGAAAAATTACTAAAATTTATTATTAATTCGTATAAAAATGTGCTTAATATCTCCTCTAACTTAGGGTTTTATTTTCTCTGCTAATTTTACCAAAAAATTAGTTCTAAGATACCTTGTAGTATTATGATTGATAATTTGCTTTTTGAATGAAATATAAAGTTCATTGAGATATCTCCGTTGCCCTCATTTCTCTGCCATCACTTGCAGCTGACTGTACCATCACCTACAAGCTTTATTTCCCTCCCGATGTTATCTTATCCGTGCCACACCCAAATTGTCACTTCCAATTCAGGTTGCTTTTTGAAGGTCTGGCATGTATGATGCTGAACAATAGTGTTGATCCCATTATATTGAGTTTCCCTACATATATTTCTGTATAACTCTATTTGCATATTTTGTAACGTATATCCTTTAAGAAAGTCGATAAAAGCTTTTGAGTGTGGTGCTACGACATTCATTATCAACCTTGGATAAAAGCTTTCAAAAATATCACCAATACAGTATGTCCCTAGGGACATCTTATTAAATAAACTTGCAGCTAGTCAAACAGAATGTTGGGCTGTTAACTGGTTACATTCCTATTTCTCAGAAAGAAAGCAGTACACCGTATATAAAGGGAAGTCTTCCACTTCATTGCCTACTGAAGCTGGTGTCCCTCAAGGCGCTGTTCTTTCTCCTTTTCTTTTTTCTTTCTTCTTGCATGACTTGCCTCACTCTGATGAAATAAACTTTGTGAAGTACGCTGATGATTTAACGGTTTCAATGGCTGTTAACTCCCAGCTAGATTGTACTAAAATAAATAGCTTTCTATCGGGAGTCAGCAAATGGTCTGAGTCTAACGGTCTTAAACTGAATCCTTCTAAGTGTCAAACTGTTGATTTCAGCTTAAGATGTAAACGACAGTTAAAAGAAGTCATCGATTCTCATGACAGTTGTAAAATTGACGACAATGATATAGGAATCAAATCAGAAATTAAGTATCTTGGACTCATTCTCTCTTCTGATCTCTCCTGGTCTTCCCATGTCTTAGCAATCTCCAGTAAAATATTCCGCCTGACATTTTACATTAAGAAGTTAAGACACTCGGGTATAACTCACCCCTCCTCTTACAGTTCATAAACTCTTGCATCCTACCTATTCTTCTTTATTGTTCACCCTTATTCTTTCCTGGTTTGCTTAAAAAAGACTATGTCACAATTCGTAGAATACTGAAGACTGTCAGTAGGGTGAGTGGTGTCCCAGTGGACCACATAGTTAACGTCGTTGTCGATAGGCACTTGACTTCATGCAATAAATTTGCTAAAGGGATTTTGTCTGACTTGGAGCATCCGCTTTACCCTCAGCTTTCACCTTGCATCTCCTCAGGTAGAACAAGGAGTAACTTCAGAAAACTGTATGCTCGCACGTCTAAGTATAAGAATTCTATGATACCATACTTGGCACGTATTTTATGTGATGAAAATAGTGTCAGGCAAGAATTAACTAACCTTTTTTCATCTAGTAAATAAACAATTTCCTCCATCCATCCATCCTTATATACCTTCAAGTTTTACTTTTATTATTTCTATTATATTTGTGGTCCTGTTACTTCTCTGTTTTACTCTCATAATTGCAAACACCAACTTATCTCCATGACGGCTGTAATCTTTGTTTTTCCCCTCACCATATCATGTAAAGAGAACATTATATTCAATATTTTTAAACATGTTAGGATTTCTATACCACATTGCCAATACTGTGTGAAACAAGCCCACGGCAATTTTCACTTGTATTTTTATTATTACCCTAGCTGTTATCATTATTATTGTTATTTCCATTTTATATGCTGCATGTTTTTGACACTACCTCTATTGTAAATGTGGAAAATTTTCTGTGTGATTAATTTTTATTTATAATTTGAGGAAATTAGATGCAATATTGTGATTAATGCTGAAAATTCCATTCTGTATCACAAGTAGTGTTTTTGGAATAAAGTAAATCATTATTATTATTATTATATGTTGTTTATAGAAGGTAAAGTTAAAACCTTGAAAGTTAAGTGGGTATTCTTCTTTTCGTTTAGATAACAATCAAAAGCTTACTGAGTTAGGTTTTCACTAATTTTAATTTTAAAATGTGAATATAAAATCCAAACTCATAGTGCAGCTGTCCAACGTAATGCTGAATCGATTCCTCAGACTCTGGAGTTAAGCAGAATCATTTGCATCAGTACAATTATGGGACAAAAGAAAGTTAAATGTCATCTTCAGGTCGTAAAACTGACAGAAACTGACTTCTATCCAATGTGGGTGGTATCCAATTTCTCAGATCTTTAAATCAGTAATATATGGCTTCATACGTTTACACTCACCTTATTAATTGGTATTTATGGTGTCAAGTAAATCATATATTGTGATCTGTATAATTTTGGTTTCCAAAGAAAGATGTAGTAAAATTACACCTCCAATGGTTGGAAACAATTGGTGATATGGCTCAAAATCGTTATCAATGGCTGGTGCAGATGCATCCACTCCTTGTGACTTATGATTTCCAACGAAACTGTTTTGTTCTTCGTTATTACTAATCCTTTGTCTCACACTTCTGTTTACTGTTCTAATATGCATTTCTTCTACTTTCTTCTTTTGGTTTGTGTGCTACATGGAGGGAGTGTGGCGACTTGAACTGTCGCACATTTGTGCAAATTTCTATGTCGAAAAAAGACAGACCTCATTGAGCTGTGTAAATTGTACTTAGTGAATGTGATTCAATATTTTGCCATTTCGTAAGCCAGAATTCCGGTGGTTTGAACTGCTTCAGTTCTCTGAGCTGAGAATCAAAGCGGTTCTCCTGACTAGGGAGAGAGCCGTCTTGCGTTAAGTCACTTCGCTGTGATTAGTAAGCACTACTTGTTGATATGAGTGGTAGTCAACTATTCATACCAATTAATGAATCAGCGGTGTATAACGTCATGCATTTGTGTCCTGAAAGTTATGCAATGGTGCAGCAGAAATAAATGGAACTCCTCGATTGAAACTTGAAAGGTTTGATCAAAGAGCCTCATTTTATGATCAGATAAATGCTCGTTTAAGGGGCTAAGTATTTTTTGTTTTGTTCAATTAGCTGTTTAATTAATGTGGATACGCCTTCCAGCATTTCAATTATTTTAAGCTCATCTTCGAATTCTGTAGGGGGCCTAACAATGAGCTCGATAATGGCACCAAATGGCAGAATTAAAATCCGAGTTAGTGAAAAAAATATTGATTCAGTATATTATCAAAATTATAGATAAGGAGTAATAAAAGTTAATTGTTACTTGAAAATAAAGTTATAACTCACTACTACAAATTAATAATCGGATCCACGGATCGTTTCACCTCTGGGGTCATGTCCACTGATAGACGTTGTGTACCGAATGTTGAATAGTCTTCAGACGAGGATAAGATGTTCCTGCTAATTCCAAAGATTACAACAGTGGTATCAGTGGAGCGTGCGTCGGTGGCACAGCGGTTAGGACGCTCGCTGACCATGCACATGGTCCGGGGTTCGATCCCCGGCCGCCAACGCACTCCTTTACGTCGCTTAGCCAGAAATAATGCTGGTAAAGAGGAAAGGCTGGGCATGAGGCTAGCAACCCTATCTTGTAAAATAAACACTGGTACAGAGACTTCAATCCACTAGCTTGAGGCCCTATATTCCACTGGGGAACGTACAGGAAAGAAAAAAAATCAGTGGAGCAGGAAGAGAGTATGAATCAATGAGTAGACGAAGTGATGAACAGCACAATTATATTTTCATCTGAACGCCACAGTTATTATTTACTTAATAAAGAAGATGACTAAACAAATGTGATGTACAATATGTCCATTTTTGACATTTAGCCAAAAATGTACAAATTTATCGCTTTTTTTAATTCCTTCACATTCCTAGTGGAATTTAGGGCTTCAAGTTAGAGGCTGGAAGGTTCTGTAGCAGTGTTTATTTTTACAGGATTGGGTTGCTAGTTTCATGCCCAACCTTCCCTCTTTACGAGTCCTATTGTTGGCTTAGCGAGGTAAAGGAGTGTGTTGGCGGCTGGGGATCGACACCCCGAACCACCTACGTGGTTGGTGAGCATTCTATCGCTGTGCTACCGACGCATAATTTATTGTTTAGGACTCCACAATTCCACTTATTATTTTTTGATCGCTAAGTAGTAAAATAAGCCAATTGTACCGCACACAACCATTTGTACTTATAAAAAAGTGCTTACTCATCTGTAAAAGGTAGGCGTTGTTTTACCCTGTTGAACTGGACCTAATTTTCAACACAAAGAACCTTACACTAGATTGAAGTGAAGAAGGATTTTGAATCTGACATTTTGAGAACTGCAGACAGATACTCTACACCTTTTAATGTAGCTCAAATTCAACACTCAAAGGCTTCATGGATTGAATCCATGTTTTGTTTTGACCGCAGCTTTCTAGTTTGCCATAAAACATCATAACTTAGTTAATATAGACCAAGTTCAATTGTTGGTTTGTAGGGATTTGATTGGTTACAGGATTACATCATGAACTGAAATTAGTTAGAGAACCATTGGAAAACCTGGTGTACTGGAGATCTGTTTCGTCAGCCTAGTTTGGGAATCCTCATCAATACGCACCCTCCGGGATTCGAACCATGGACCTTCTAGTTACAAGGTGCACTCGTATATCATTAAGCCACTGGAACCCGATCCAATGGCTCATGAATTCT